ATTCACTATTGATTTGAAAGCTGACAGATTTGGAAGCCTCTTAATTTTGAGGGGTTGTCCCTGAAGTCTTGAGAGTTCTTATATATAGCACAGAATAGTCTCACTTCCTCCCAGTTCTCAGCTTGCTTGCTTTGCCCCTCTCCTTTCCGTAGTTTGCTTCTAATTACATTTCTCTAGTAAAATACTTAACCATTTCTTCCTTAATCATGGATTCTAAGGTGCAATAAAAATCCAAAGGGAAATATATATATTGTTATACAGAAAGACAGATTTTTTTTCCCCTCAGAGCATTTTCAGTGATTTCTGCAGGAATGAATGAGTAAAGGTTTCAAGAATGAATAGTGGCAGAAAAGCAACTTACTATTGTATACAAGTCTCTGCAGCCCCTGGGTACCAGTACTTCTGTATCTCCTTTTGTTGAGTTCTCTATTTTTTTATGAATATGCATATTGGGGAAAAAACTTCCATTTGCTCCCTTTTAGCTGATTCTATCACTTTTTTGAGCTGTGCATCATTATGAAGCTTCAGAGAAAAATGATCATCTACATTACATATGGATGTAAAGTAGAGAAGGAGTTGATGAATTGCAAACAAGTATAATTTATATGGACAAATTGTGCCGGAAGTGATTTCACCCCATTTTACTCTGCAAATGGAATAATTCTTGCCCATCATTCGGCCAAGTGCCCACGAACTTGGAGAAGAAAACCATCCTGATGGCCTGTGCAGCAGGATTTCACCTCTCCCCATGAAGAAACAGGGACTTTTCCGGTGGTTCAGACAGTAAGGAATCCGCCTGCAATGCAGGAGACCCGGGTTTGATCCCTGGGTTGGGAAGATGCCCTGGAGAAGGAAACGGCAACCCACTCCAGTACTCTTGCCTGGAGAATTCCATGGACAGAGGAGCATGGCGGGCTACAGTTCATGCGGTCGAGAAGAGTCAGACATGACTGAGCAGCTAGCGCTATATGAAGAAATAGTGCTTTGCTCTAGGGCTCACCAGAGACTCCAGAGGTCAAAAGAAATCTCTGAACATTCTAATGTTATTCTTTATAGGTTCTTCTGTCATGGTTTCTTAATTTATAATATCATGTGGACACATTGCTACACTGTGTATGTGAGAAATTTGCGTGATGGAGTAAGAAATGTGAAGTAATGAAAATATTTTCCCGGTAGGCTCTCCCTCTGCACTTTGTTTCCCAGGGTAGATTATTTGCCTAAATGTCCAGGCAGCGCTAGTGGTAAAGAGCCTGCCTGCCAATGCAGGAGACATAAGAGCTGTGGATTCCATCCCTGGGTTGGGAAGATTCCCTGGAGGAGGGTATGGCAACTCACTCCAGCATCCTTGCCTGGAGAAATCCCATGGACAGAGGAGTCTGGCAGGCTACAGTCCATGGGGTCACAAAGAGTCAGACACAATTGAAGCAACTTAGCACACATGCAAGCACCATAAAAATTTAAAAATATATGCCTTACTACATGTCTTTCTACAAGGGCTTTTCTGTTGGCTGTATCACACTCAGCGGTGACCCTATGCTGTATACACCAAGGCCTGAGGTGCAGCCATAATCCCAAATCTTTTATTTATTTAATATAGGCATTCATTTCTATATTTAGTCATTTATCCTTAAGTGATTATTCCTATCATGTGCCAAGAGTGAAGAATCAGAGCTAAATGCAATGAAACCTCTTCCTAAACTAACAGGAGTAAACAAAGACGTATTCTGTCATGACAGAATGGTCTTTGGCTGTGAAGGTCTGTTAAATCAGCTGACTCTCTCCTTGATGCTGGAGAACACAGTTGTCTTAGCCCTAAGGCATTTGTGTCTGAAGAATTTCAGATCACTACAGGACCAGGCCAGTGTTACAGTAGCATGTACACTGCTTTGATTTTATGTTCAGGCATCAGTTTTTACGCACATACTGCATGCCTTGTGCTGAGTGTTTTGAACAGATTATCTCACTTAATCTACAAAATGCTATGGAATATTAGTACAACAATTATGTATATTTTGCAATGGGAAGAAAACGAAGCTCAGAGGATAAGTGACCTGCCCAAAGTCACACAGTCCTCAAACCAGGATCTCCAGCTGATGTGTTGAGGTCAACACAGTGTGTGATGAGAATCATTCCATGTTAAGATAGGAGGTAGCATAAAGTGAAGGTTACTTCTATCTTACTTCCATAGCCACAAAACCTGGTCAGATTTAGAAACTGCTGTTCTTTTGCCTATATTTAGTCCCTATTCATTTTGCTTTCAACCTTTACATAATTTTAGCATGACTTACCACTTTATGAAGGAGTACTTGAAGTCTGCCTGCTGATTAGTTATACAATTTTATCGGCGGTGGCGGGGTGGGTGGGGATGGAAGTGCATGTGTGGGGTGATGGAGTATCTAAAATTTCATCATATTATTTTCTCAGAACTTATGCTTGTAACGGAAGTTTCTCAACATGAAATGTCATCAGTTTGGCCTCACTCAGGAAGTTGCAAGGCACTTGACTAACCTCAGTGAGTTGGACGTTATCTAAAACCTGAAAATCTTTAGCTGCCTGGCATTTTAGAACTTTCAAAAGTTATCTTGTTTTTTAATGAATTATTTTCTTAGTTTAGTTGATTAAAAAAATTATGACAAAATACTTCAAGGTGAAGGTATATTCCTGTTTATGTAAGCAATAGAATGTTTGTGTGTGTGTGTGTGTGTGTGTGTGTGTGTTGGGGGTGGAGTGGGGGGAACCAGGATTTAAATCATCTAATTTTTGCTCTTTTCAAAATAGTATTGTAAAGATTTTATCCATTTATCTGAAATAAAATTTCTCTGACCATGCATTCTGTCAAAACAAACTTGAGTCTGAAAACATAGGCTTTCCCTGGGACCGGAATAATCATTGAATTCCAGAACATGAAAAAGTTTTACAGCCTTTCTATACTGAAAGATTCAGCTGGTTCCAGTGGAGAGGCTATGGTGAGATGGTGGTGTGTTTAGTCATGTCCGACTCTTTTGCAACCCCATGGACTGTAGCCCACCTGGCTCCTCTGTCCATGGAATTTTCCAGCCAAGATACTCAAATAGATTGCCATTTCCTCCTCCAGGGGATCTTCCCTATCCAGGGAACGAACCCATGTCTCTTGCATCTCCTGCAATGGCAGGCAGATTCTTTATCACTGTGCCACCTGGGAAGCTCATAGATTGAATAGATTGATTTAAATATAGATATGGAATGTGTATGGGAATAATAATTATATTTAATGCACTCCAGCAAACAACTCCTAAATGCCCACGCTGTACCTGGTTTTATACCAGCAATGAAAAAGACTAAACAAAATAATCTCTGTCACAAGATCACTGTGTCATGGAAGGGCAAATGTCATAGTAAATAAAGTATAATATGATAAGTGTTTTAACCAACAGAGATACAAATTGCTATGGAAATACAAAGAGAACACCAAAGGGAATCATGGAAGGCTTCACAGAATAAGTGATTTTGGTGGTGAGTCTCAAGGCAGAAAACAGAGGGAGGCTTCTGCATATAGAAAATAGCAGGAGCCACTCCAGAAAAATAGATAATGTAAGAAAAGTAAAAAAGGAAATAGTGAATTCAGGACACTGCAAGTGTATTGCTTTGGCTGGAGAGTGTAGAGTGAGAGATGGGAGAGGAAATATATGACTTATAGGGTAGGTTAAAAATTGTTGGGGAGGATTTTATATATCCCTGAAGGTTTAAATACTATACTAGAGACAATGAAAAGCCATCAAACGTTTTTAAGCTGAAAGTATGTGATTTAATTTTTGTGTTAAATCACATACTGAATTGTGCCTCCCCCACCCCCTCAAATTCATATGTTGAAGCTCTAAACCCCATCATATGGTATTTGAAGATGGGGTCTTTGGGAGATAGGTTTAATTAGGTCATGAGGGTGAGGACATCATGATGGGATAATGAGGGCCTGCTGTCTCCCTCTGCCTTGTGAGAATACAACAAGAAGATAGTTATCTATCTGCAATCCAGGAAGAGATATCTCAGCAGAACTCAACATGCTGGCAACTTGATCTTGGATTTCTAGCTTCCCAAACTGTGAGAAATGTTTCTATTGTTTAAGTCACCCAGTCTGTGGTTTTGTTAGGGCGTCTGACCTGATACATACAATTATTCGGGAAGCTGGCAAAAACAGATGTGGAGTTCAGGAAAGAGACTGAGGTAAGGTAATTGATTTGGGAATCATATATATATATATATATGTTTTATAAGTGTATATACTGATGATAAAACCTTATCTGGTAGAAATTTTTTTGTCTGAAGTTCTAAGGTGAAATATACTTTAACAACAGTCTGGAGATTACCAAATGCAACAGTTTTTTATTATTAAAATTAGGGTATTTCAAAATTAAGAATATTTACACTTAAAAATGAAAAATCTGTACAATTATTAAAATTAGTTTTCCTAAGTCAGGATTGACAATATGTTTTTATCTATACTTTCATACAGAAAACAGTGACGAAATCAACAAAAAATAATTACTAAAACTCCACTGTGGATTAGGATAAAATTTCTCTAATACTAACTCACACTTTCCCAGTAATTATAAAAATGAGTATAAATGCTGCTTGGACAATTAAACAGACACACTCTGTTACTATTTACTCAACAACACACACAAATTCAAAACAGGCATGTATAAAAAAAGGGGGAGTCTTTTTGCAGAATACTTTTGCACTTATAAAATAAAGCTAAATAAACATACTCCAAACCTACATTATCCTTCTTCTGATACAGGGAGGTGAAATATTAACATTTTAGCATTTAAAGAAATAAATATACATGTTATTCACAACAACTGGGAATATTAGAGATATGGATTTTTATTTACAATCATTCCCATTAAAACATTTTAACTTCAGGTAGTATCTGCAAATACTTTTCCTCTCCTATTTGGTTTTTTAGCTCAGGAAGAGTTAAAATAGAACACATCTGTAGATACAGAGTTGATACTGTATATTCAGTCACTTGGCTCTCTGATAGTGATCTTCTGTACCATGTCAGACAGGTTTTCAGACTCCAGGTCTTCTTTACCATTATCTGAATTTTCTGATGAGATGTAACAGCCAGAGTCCCTTGGGCAGTCGTCTAACTGTGACTTATTTAGGATGTCTGGGCTTAAGGAGAGGGGCGTGGATTCACTTTCTGGCTCTTGAATAGCTGTAAATGGAAAAGAGAGCACTGGTTAGGCAAAGTCAAGAGAAGCTTTTTTCATGTATTCACTCATCTTCAAGTTATTTTAGCTGTTTCAACTTCATTACAGTGGAAACTTCTGTAAGTAAATGATGTAATTGTTCATCATAAATGAGATGTTTGCTCTCAAATATTCGAGCCACTATTTCCTTAGAAGATAAATTTTGCCCTTTGTTGCTCACTTGGAGTTTCATGGACTTCATGTGAACTGCTTACAGAAGTGAAGATCAATATGGACTCTCCTTTTACATTGATGAAAAGTTGCCAAAGAAAGCAGATTGTAGCCACAGTGTGACTGGTGCCTTGTCCCAATACTCCTTAAAGTAACATTAGAAGAAGTCATTTGTAGTTTAAATGTACAATCCTAGTCAATAGTCATTTTTGCGAGCAATTCGAGAATCATGATAATGTTGATTAATGAATAAAAGATCAATGTGAGCAGCAACATACAATAGAATTTCAATAACTTGGAATTTAACTAATAGTTTCCATGTTTGGAAAGCATAGAATTTTCCTATGTTTGAATTCATCAGAAAAGTAGACATAAAATCAGACATTGCTTTTATCTTTTGGCTGTGCCCCATGGCTTATGGGGCCTTAGTTCCCCAACCAGGGATTGAACCCAGGGTGTAGCAGTGAAAAGGACTGAATCTAACCACTGGTCTGCCAGGGAATTTGGCAGGTTGCTTTTAGATAGTATAACATTGTATCTATTGAATCCACCTTTTGTAGTTTACTACATCTTTGTTTACATTTCTGAATAACAATTATACACATTCAGGTTGGCAATTCTATGTCATCAAACCAGTATTCTTAAAAAACAGGCATTGCCATTTTAGGTAAAAATTAATATTAGAGGTGTAATGAAAGATATTTCTAAAGAACCTAAGGAGCTCTATAGTTTTACTCTTCTCAAGAATTTTTGTCATCAGTGTTCTCTTTGTCAATGTTAAGTTTCTTTCTTTCCTGAGGAGAGGAGATGGATCTTAAGCCACTGTCTCTCAGATATATGAGCATAGCTTGCTATTTCCCCTTCTAAACCTGGGACTGCTCTACTTTCGACATTGGAATAGCCCTACATTGGAAGAACATACATTTCAGGGATGTTTAAGATCTCTGCCTTCAGAGGTTATGCACTTCATCTCATTCCAGTGAGAAGAAAGTAGATCCAGACTTTGGAAGAAGGAAATTGTGTACTGGTGTAATTTTCCTCAATAGACTCAAGTAATTTATCTTTTGGAAATCCGCACTTTATCTTGTCTACATGTCTCCTGCTTTTAAATGCATTTTATAGGCTTCTGATAAATTGTCAACATTAGTTTATGGTCCACTGAATACCTAATTGTTATCAACCTCTATTACAAGAGAGAATTGAGCCTAGCATCCTTGTATCTAATTAATTAAGTTTTTCTCAATGTATCTACAATGGTGCTAGTTATGCCCCTTTCATGGAAGAACTGAGCAAAGAGTCACTTAAATTATTTCCACATTTTTTGCTTTTATATGGGAAACAGAAGTTGAGAAAAGTTGGAAAAAATGATAAAAATAATTTCTTAGTCTACTCATTTTCAAAATGAGTCATAACAGTTCTTTTAACCTTTTTTTCAAAGTTTTTATTCACCACAATGAAACCATATTTATGCTAGTCTTCTGAATCTTCTCCACATTTGCCACAACTTTATTTAACTGTGGGCTCAAGTATCAGAAATTTAAGTCTAGTGAAGTTATAATTAGTTCTTGGTATAAGGAGCTTCAACTTAATGTGAACCTTTTGTGATTATTGTTTTAAAATGTTGGCTATTGTGAAGCATTCTGTCTTTATTAGTTATAAGCCTTTTAGCTTTAGGGGAATCTACTTAATCTTGACTAGTCTTGATGAGTATCAGTCATCCACTTGTGGTTCCAAGCCCTTCTTTTGTGAAAAGGCAGCACTGAAATGGGACCTCAGTCTTTAAGGAAACACCTTCTCCTCTTCCTTTGTTTTCCTGTCTTATTGCCACTGAAATGAAAGAGATGGCTTTGTGTTCCATTATGCAAGTGTTTCTGGAAAAAGACCAGAGGAAGTAGCCTTTTTGCAGTGCTTCCTGCCACATCAGCAGTGATCACCATATTCAGAGTGTGATCCTCTTTGTCAGAATGGCGGTGGGGATAAGACCATATTTCCCCAGATATATCTGGGCTTATTACCTCAACACAAAATTGAAAGAACTGAGATCCCTTCCTCAGACTGCCATCCTAAAAGCGACTTAGCATAATTACTACCTCCAACACTGTATTCTGTTTAGGTTGATTACTGATTGTGGGACTCTTCATGATATAAAACTTAGGCTTAAAGAACTCTGAATTCTAAAATTAGCTCTTTTCCTTTCCAAAAAAATAAGTACTAGGTTGTTATTTCATTCTCTGAAAGTTCTATATGTTCACCTCAAAGGGTAACAAAGTAAAGAAACAATAAATCTAACTTTAAACAGAGAATATGCCATTTTTAATATTAGTAATAAAATGTATCTGTTTTTATTTCCACCTGAGAAATGCTGTATCACATTCTCCATACTCTAGGAATGGTTCATTTTAAATACAGGTTATTTATTGTAGAAACCTTTCATCTGCAATTTTTATGGAAAAAGGAAATAGTTTCTCAGTATGAAAGTTATGCAGCACAGTAATTTACAGAACAGTAGTAATTTGCTAAATGATTTCCTAGTGAAATGAAAACATGACTATGCCTCCTCAAAAGCTTCCCACCAGGCTTGCAATAATGTCAGGCAGGTGATCAGCTGGAACTCCTCAACTGTAACTATAAAAAGAAAAGGCAGGTCATTAAGTTATATAATGGAAAGGAAAGCTATCTAGCATTCAGTTTTTGTATTTGGAGGGTCAAGATTTTCCTCTCCTTTTTTTTTTTTTTTGTTGTTGTTTATTTACTTATTTATTTATTTCATCTTGACACTAATGACTTAAGGATTGACATAAATCTAGGTCTTATGCTATGGGTAGTTTTTCCAGCATAGGAAATGAATTCACGCTAGTATATTCACATGTTCTTTCTAAGTCATTTAGTCTCTTCATGTGGTCATGAAGCAGAGTAAAGCTAACTGACCTACCTAGAAATTGAAACTATATCCTTCATCAGTTTTGTCCCGTGGTCCAATCATCTGAGCTAACCAGGTAAGTAACACATTGGAATAAGAATCAGTTTGACTATAAAATTACAGACTTTCCTTAGGATATCCAAGTGTGTCTTTTTGTACAAAAACATTTCTGATAATACATGAAGTTAAAGAATTAGCATATATAACTTTTCTATTTTTAAAGTTATGTAAAAACATGGGCATCATATAATTCAGACGTGAAAGTGTTAGAATTTTAGAGTTCTATATTTCTGAGATGGTTTACAATGTTTTGTATTTTATTTTAATAAAGAACAAAACATTATAATGGTACCATTTTTTTAATAAAGCCCCTGAATGGTTTGCAAATATCCCCAAAGCTGTACATTTGAAAATCTGAGTATACTGAAGAATTAGTAAGTAATCTGAAAAAGGGTATATCTTATTGCTACCAGCTAACATCAGGCATAAAGGAGTACAGAAAGCAGCTCCAAACAGTTCTGCACTCTATGTAGTAAAAATAAAATGATCATTTTAAGAAACAATTATTTAGAAGATATTTTTTCATAAAGAACTAATTTGAATAATAAAATATTTCATTTCTTACCAAAATTTTTATGGAATTGTATAAAGCCCATGGTTCAACATAAGTCTGATCAATGGAGATAAAAAGTGACATGGTGATTAGAATATAAGACAGCTAATATAATTATTCATAAAATAATTATATTGAGTTGTGACATTTAATTAAGTACAGGCAATCTCAATTATACTAAAACTGAAGAAAGCTTTAAGGAAATCAAACTAGGTCCTAATTCTGGGAAAAAGTTATCATGCCTGAAGAGAAAAATCTGTCCTATATTCACATATTAGAAAGTTGAAGATTTAATAAAAAATGTAAACTACTAGTTTTTGCTTGACTTTCCCAGTTTTCTTTACTCAAATATTCCAGATTTTGACTTTATTATCTTGTTTGCCTTAAGTATGAAGCTTGTCCTTTATACCAGGTACTATCAAGTAATGCAATCCAGAGGGCATAGGAAAATAGCTGATCAATGAAAGTGCTTAATAAACATATATTTAATAAAAAGAGTGCAATATTTAGGTTAATTAAAGGAAATACAAACTAAAGAAAATCGAGTAAGAAATTTTGTTGAAATTCAAATGAAGACACCTCTTGGGTCTTTGTATTATCCTCCTCTTTTTTCTCTAGTCCGGTACCATCTTCAGCGAGGAAAAACAAGGCTTATGCACCTTTGTTATTTAGTCACTAAGTTGTGTCGGACACTTTTGTGACACCATGGTCCCTAGCCCACAAAACTCCTGTGTCCCTGGGATTTCCCAGGCAAGAATACTGGAGTGGGTAGCCATTCCCTTCTCCAGGGGATCTTCCTGACCCAGGGGTTAAACCAAGGTCTCCTATACCGCAGGCAGATTCTTTACTGTCTGAACCACAAGGGAAGCATTTTAAGATGGCTCAAAATCTCAGCCTCATTTGTCCCTCCATATCAGCTCCTCAAACCTAGACTCAAGCGTTCTCCAGATCACTCTGGCTATATTTATTTGGCCAGAGATAGCATTGTCCATGGAGGGAAACTTTCGCTAGACAATATGGCATAGCCTACTTGTTTCTGATTTCATCTTAAGCATGTCCTTAAATTACCTGAACATTTTAATTTTCTATTTAGTGGATATTTGGTATTTATTTTAATTGAATACTAGTCCACCTTTTGAAAAAAACAACAAGAACAAAGTGAATACAAGAATCTCTTCATGGGAAACCAACCAGTTACTGTTTTCCTGAGGCCATGAGAAACTATGGAGTTAAAATGACTCTCCCTCTGTTTGCTAACCCCT